TGGTCGACTATGCGGCTCTGGCTGTCGACATCTCATTCACAACGCTCGTCCCTGCCCGAGATGGCTACCGCTTGCTGCAGCTGGCCACGAAGCAGCTATCAGATCCCGACAGTGTTCTGAATCTGGGCCAGAGCAACGCCTTTGCCGCAGACGTCATCGAGAACGTGCTGAGGACGAATGCGTTCCACACCATATTGAGCGGGGCCCCGCACATGGCGCTCTATCCTGAGGTCTCGGTGGGTGAATGGCTTGGGTTTCTTTCTTGTCCTGATGGAGCAATAGTCTGGGGAAAACAAAGACACAATGGCTGACGTCAGAAACTCGCATGGCATGGGAATAGAGAATCAACCATGCGTGTAAACCAAAGCAAGTCTCCCTGCCCCCCGCACAATAGCAGACCTTTGTTCTAACGTGTTTGCGGGGTGTCACTTGTACAGCGCATACACGCGATTTATCCCACAGAGCCTGGGCGTCAGCGTGGCAGCATCTCGCGACATCAAGCTAGGCGAGGAGATCACAATCAGCTACCTCACTGTGGGAGAGACGTCAGACGTGCGACAGAGATCGCTGCGGCAGTGGGGGTTTGAGTGTTCGTGCGATCTGTGCTCGAGCAGCGCGGCAGAGGTCGCGGCGTCGGACGCTCGTCGACGACAGATCGACATGCTGCGCCACCAGGCGGTGCAGGCCTTTACAGACGGGAAACCATACCAGGCGCTGCGCATCACACGGCAGGTGTTGAACCTGCTGCCGCTCGAGGGGCTGTTTCCCCTGTACAGTGAGCAGTATGAGAACATCGCCCGCGTCTATTGGATGTTGCGGGATAGGGAGAAGGCGGAGAAGTATGCGAGGATATCGCTCGATGTGCTCGCTGAGCAGGGCTACATTTCGCGTGTGCGGCCGGGGGATGTGGAGATTATGTGGAACAAGTTTGTGGAAGGTGGTTGAGGTAAAGGCAAGGCAAGGCCGATAAAAAGGTTAAACCAGTGGAATTCGTCGTGGTTGTTGGAGTATGGGTGGGAATGACTTGAGATGTTGATTAAAGTACGTTCAGAACTTCAGACAGGACAGAATAGAGGTACCTTCCTGTGCAAGATTTCAGGGTCCAAAGATATGTCCACGTCGATTAAATTGGAGCAAAAGTGCTCATCCAACAATCCAAGACAAGGTGGGTCGGTGTCATCGTGGCAGGCAAGCACGGACTGTATACACTAGAAGGAATATCGATCGCACTTGCCTACTCCTGGTGATCGAAGCCCTATCATCATTTAATTTCCCTCTTTCCCCTTTCCCCTTTCCTCCAGGTTTTCTCCCCGCACGACTGTCGTCAAGCCATCGTCAAATTCCAAATTCAAAACTCCAAACACCTTTTTTCCACACCACCACAACACAACGAACTCGGACCCTGACTGGCACACACCACTTGGCTTTGGCCCCCACCAACGTCAGCCAAGCGGGCGCCAAGACGTCATATCAACGGCGCCACCCATCTCGAGATTCTTTGTTTCCAGGTCTCTGCGAAGGCTGCAAATGATGGTACCGAAACACGCGACCACGTCGAAATAAAGAGCAATTACCTCAGTGCCTCTGGTATACCGGACCTCATTCCCGGGGGGCGGTCGAGCATGTGCGTCAGTCGGTACACCGCAGCGCCATAGAATTATGGCCAGAGTTACACAGTGTGACGGGTTAGGCACTATCGCAGACCTCGCACAATCACAACCTAGCTCGCAGCTTGGCACCGACTGTCGTGAAGAAGGAGGGTGGGGAGTGTGGAGGAGGGGTCGAATCCTATCCCACTCATCTGACCGGATCCGACACATCAACAAGTCCGATTAGCCGACCACCAAGAGAAGATATCTCCAGTCGGTGCCATGGTTTTGTCAAAGGCTTGCTCGGCGACCAATCATGGTCTCCCGCTCCATACCTTGGCTGACGGTAGATCGTCTCCATTCCAAGCCACCGCGGGTAGTCGTGCTGCCTTTTCTAGAGTTTTGTGGAGGTTTTCTTTCTTGGCTGAAAGCTACTCGGACGATCGGCATTCTGCGCGTACCAGGGGAAGGTATAAGTCTCCTCACCGTTCCCGGGCCGTCATGGCATCCTCGTGTTCCCTAGGACTCCTTTTAGGTGTACCCTTCTGCTACAATCGCGGTGTTACTGCTTTTATACGCGTTGTTGATACTGTTTATACTATACCACACCCACATTAAACAGTTTGTCTTTCCGGACTACCATCATGGCAGAACCACTAGGGAATGTCGCGGCTAATGGCCACACTCACATGTACGAACCCACCCATAGTCAACGCCACATTCTCGTGATCTAACCAACATCTTATATTAATTAGGGACGAGTCAAAGAGTGTCACCGAAGATCACCTTGAAAGAGGTGACTCAGCCACCGACCATGTCGATCTAAACTCCAACCTTGAGGCAAAGTAAATACCAGTGATCCACCCCCTTAACCGTTAGTTCCTATGTCTTACACCATAATCCAGGATCAAAAATCCTCTCGAGGGAATGCCATACGATGAGCTCATGCTCCGCGTTCAGGCATTTGCAGAGGAAAAGGGCCTGACTGAGCACATCGTCCTCCTGCGCAAAGGCGCACTAATAGCACAGAACCCCGAAGGCTATGCTGATATCAAGGGAGCCGAGGCTCTTGATGAGACCGAGAAGCTAGTTCTCCGTGCCGAGGTCGAGCACAAATGGCGGCTTCCCAAGAAGCTGTTTCTCACGATAGCTACGTGCTCCATCGGGGCCGCAGTCCAGGGGTGGGATCAGACTGGCACGAATGGCGCTAATATCTTCTTTCCTAGCATCTACGGCATTGGGACCAATAGCACTCGTGACAGACTGCTGCTCGGGCTTGTCAACTCTGGACCGTACATTGGTAGCGCGTGAGTGCTTGAGATCAAACTGACTTTTGTGTGGACGTGAAGAATAATGACTGACCGGCACCCGCCATTGTGCAGATTCATTGGCTGCTGGCTATCTGATCCACTTAACCACATATTCGGTCGTCGAGGTCTGTTAACATGTAACTTGAAAACGTAGAACCATATGCTGACATTGTCTTTCAGGTGTTATTTTCTTCGCGGCACACTTTTGTATCTGGCCTGTTATTGGATCCGCCTTTTGTCACAGCTGGGGTCAGCAACTGGCATGCCGACTGCTGATGGGTATCGGGATGGGTGCAAAAGCCTCCACAGGTTGGTCATCCAGCATCCAGCATCTGATACACAGCTTTACGCCCTTCGTATAGCTAACACATTCTCACAGTACCAATCTACGCCGCTGAAAATTCACCCGCGGTCATTAGAGGAGCTCTTGTCATGTCATGGCAGATGTGGACCGCCTTTGGTATCTTTCTAGGAACTGCGTTCAATCTCGCCGTTTGGAACACGGGTGCTATCAATTGGCGGCTGATGCTGGGTTCGTATTTCACCTCAACACACATCACCGTCTCCGCAGACTGACCCAGATAACAGGTGCTCCATTCATACCGGCCGTGCCATTGGTACTTCTCATCTACCTCTGCCCCGAATCTCCAAGATGGTACATGAAGAAGAATCGCTACGAAAAGGCCTGGAATTCCATGATACAGCTCCGGAACCACCCAATCCAGGTCGCCCGCGACATGTACTACATTCACTCTCAACTGGAGCTGGAAGATAAGCTTCGGAAGAACACCACCTATGTGAAAAGATTCATGGAGCTCTTCACCGTCCCGAGAATCCGGCGGGCGAATCTCGCTGCATTTGTGGTCATGATTGCGCAGCAGATGTGCGGGTGAGCAAAACCCCCTCCTCCCCCCTCTCCTCCCCCCTCTTCTCACAGCCATCTTCTAACCCTCTCAAAAGCATCAACATCATCGCCTTCTACTCAACCTCGGTTTTTGAAGAAGCCGGCTCCAGCCCCTTCCAAGCCCTCCTCGCCTCATTCGGATTCGGCCTCGTCAACTGGCTCTTCGCCTTCCCGGCCTTCTGGACCATCGACACCTTTGGCCGCCGCACCCTCCTCCTCTTCACCTTCCCCCAGATGACGTGGACCCTGCTCGCCGCCGGCCTCTTCACCCTCCTTGAGCAAGGCACCGCCCGCACCGCCCTCGTCGCCCTCTTCGTCTACCTCTTCGCCGCCTTCTACTCCCCCGGCGAGGGCCCCGTGCCTTTTACGTACAGCGCGGAGGTGTACCCGCTCTCGCACCGCGAGGTCGGCATGGGCTTCGCCGTCGCGACATGTCTGTTCTGGGCCGCGATCCTCAACATCACGTTCCCGTTCCTGCTGTCGTCGACAGGCACCGTGGGCGCGTTTGGGTGCTACGCCGGGTTTAACTTCGTGGCGCTGATCATGATCTTCTTTTTGGTGCCGGAGACGAAGCAGCGCACACTTGAGGAGCTGGATTATGTGTTTGCAGTGCCAACGCACAAGTTCGCGTCGTACCAGCTTACGCAGGCGCTACCGTGGTGGTTCAAGCGGTGGGTGCTGTGGCGGCGGGACGCGCAGCTGAAGCCGCTGTATCAATATACTGGGGCGGGAAAGGGGGCCAGCGGGAGTGGGAAGGAGAAGAGGTCAGATGAGGGGGCTTTGAGGGAGTGAGTGATTTTTGAAGGATGTTGCATGATGATGATGATGAGAGGACAGCTTGGTCTGGACTTTGGATTCTTTGGGGAATGGAAAAGGGGTTTGTTTTGTTTTGTTTGGCTTTATTTGGTTGAGTCAATGGAGCCCGTCGGGATTAATACTACGTATGGTCGGAGGGAGAATTACGACAATACTGTGACGGGAAGGAGGAGCAAAAAGAGGGGGAAGTGTAGCAAAGGAAGTTTTCATGTTTTCGTCAGATGCCAACACCATCATTTATCAATGCCATTGTAGTTGATTTGCTTGATTGCATCTGTCAGTTTATGGTTATAAATAGGAAAGTGAATGACAATAAATACTATGGGGAGATAAAAAGCCTGGCGGCCAGCCAGGAAGCTCAGCAACAAAAAGCAAAAGAATCGATCGAGCTGGGACTCGAACCCAGAACCTTTACCAACTGAGCGTTGTATTGGAAATTTGACTTTCTCATCACCGGAAAGTAACGCGCTACCATTGCGCCACCCGACCTTCAATGCGGACTATCAGCCTTATTTCTCCACAGATGGGTGCGTGGGTGTGTGCATTGCATGTGTGGAGGTGAGCCCTTGTTTTGTGATGGAGACGGTTTGGCGCTGTCGATGGGGGAGACAGGGGGAGTGCTGGCGGCTTGTGATAGAATGTGGGGCCAGACATGATGATTGGATGTGGTTTGTGGGTTTTGGTACCCGGGTAACTTGTTGAGTCGAGCTTTCTATGTGGTGTAGACTTAAGTGGCCGTGGACGTTAAACGTATATGGGGATTGGGCATGCAGCTCGCGTCCCCAAGCAGGCCTGATATCACAGTTTGTGGGCGATGAGGGTCTGTCGTCCATGAGGAATCCAACTGGGTGCTGTATCTCTAACATATCTAGATTGAGGTAATGGCTGGCTCAATACATCGAGAAATACTATCATGGCATGATCGTTATGATGCTATGTTGTCAAACTTGACTGTTTTAGGCCAGACATGCGTAATCATTAATGGTCAAGCGTCGCGTAGTGTTCATGATGTTTCAGACATGGCAGTAGGCCCTGAGTTAGGTACTGCTCTTATTAGAAACCTAAGTAAACGTTAAAATCAATCTTTTAAGAACAATGGCCATAACTAGCACAGAGCAAACCTGGGTGTTGGAGCTTGGCTGGGAAGGTAGGTGATGCACTCCATCGCGTATCGATACCATTTGAACATGGAGTAGATGGACTCGGTCAGTTCGGAGCTGCTGGACTTGTCGATGCAGCACGTATCGACCCAAGCATAGTTGACGAGAAGTTCTCCTTTGGGCCCAGTGCAGTGATGAGCCATATGGTGAATGTAGTGCAGTGATACCGTGTCGAAAGATGAGGGACTTTGGTTGAGGGGAGATATTTTGGTGACTGGAGGTAAAGAACCAACCTGGTGGGCTGGTGCCTAACGTGAATTTGTTTCATTTTGCTACCGACACCGCTATTTTTTATGAAGCTACAGACTCTAAACTATGAAGCGCTGATAAGTGCTGAACTAAATGTGAAATCCAGAGTAACACTTTGCCAAACCAGCTCTGGCTAAAAACGATCTGCCGCACGACAATCCATCCACCCTCCCCGTCATCCATTCGGTGTGTGTTAGTTGTACCGGACCAGAATCTCACACACCTCTTCAAACAACTGCGAATCAGACATATGCATCCATTGCTTGATTAATTCTTTTGTAGCTTCAATCTCCTCTCCCGTGACGAGGCCCGACCTGGGTAACAACGTCCCAAATTTGCTATTACGGGAGAACCTCGCAAGGTGTGCATCTCCAACCGCCATCCTTTTCACAAGATCGCTGTCACAGACAACAATATGATGTGGCTTGTCGAGTTTGTGTATTACCAGCCCGGGGTACACCAAGAACGAGTCCATGTCACCGGCATCGAGTCTCAACAGACCTTCCTTCACATCGAGAATTCCCTCCTGTCTCAACATACCCAACGTATCTTTACCGCAATTGTGCACGTATCCGCTGTCGTTGGCAATGATGCGCTCGTAGTTCTCAAGCCTCTCTGTAAGTTGCAGTTGCTCTGGGAGGAAGATTTCTCGCTTTGTGTACTAGCACGCCAGCAAACCGCCCGGTTTCAGCACGCGGTGAACTTCTTTCAGGATACCACTTGACGTAATACCCTTAAGAGGGTTGAGCGAGACACAATGGAACAGATCTTTTGAATACACCATGTCGAACTTGTTGCTCATATATGGTAAGACTGGTCTCTTGTCGATAGTCCAGATTTTTTGAAACATAGTGAAATCTTCCGGAATATGGTGGGTTTTCTTCATCCTAGCGGCATACGCACCCACGCGCTGGGCCTCGGCGGTATTGTAGTAGAGGCTGCAGAGCAGGCCGTTGGGCACCGAGAGCCCAAGGGCAATGGTCGTAGCTGCGTCACAATCAATGACGAGGATTTGGTCGGTGGGTTTGATGTGGCTTCGGATGAAGGCTATACTTGGGTCATGCTTGAACCAGTCAGGACCTGTGGCGTGAAACATAAAGGCCATGACTGATCTCAGATGAATGCTTCTTGAGTGTGGCTCTTGAATGAAATGTCAAATGAGCGACACAGCGGTCGTGGCGAATGTTTTGAGATACAAGATGGAAACAATACCGATAGCACGCGCCGGGGGGGGGCAGTCATTGGGAACCATAATGGGGGCGACCATAATGAGGGCGACTGGGTGGTAGTGAGACGCACCTCCCGTGATCCATCGATGCTGACCTTGACGATGCAAGGAACAGTGTAAGGAAGCGGCGAAAGACGTTCGAGTAGATAAGGTAGGCAGGGCCAGGTAAGAGTGGAAAGAACATACATAGCACTGTTATCAGCAGCCGCCATCTTCGAAACCTCAGAAGGTCTACTCTCTACGCACCGTACAAAAGAGGACCTGCACCGCAGTAACATCTACAATGGTCGCCCAATGGACCCTCTTGTAAGGTACGTCGAGAACTTCTCTTCTTATTATGTGTAGTAAGTACGAATAAAGGTATAGCAACCAAGCCAATCAACTCCAGCTGTGAAAGCAACAAGACGCACCCGCATCCGTATTGGACGTATTACCCTTATTCCAGACACCAAACTCCTATCCCCTATCCCATCCATCCCACATACTCCACAAACAAGCAGCAATTAGCAACACTACAATGACCACACCAAACATATACCACACACCACAACCCGCACCACAACTCACCACACACATAACCCACAAGCCAGCCCATCCCCTCAAAGAGCCTCAATCGCCCTCAGCAAAACCTCCACCCCCCTATCCTCCACATCCACCCCGTCCTCCTCCCCACCATCCCTCAGCAGCCCGGCCACATCGCTCAGCACACCCAGCGGGATGTAGCACCCCGTCTTGGCCCTCTCCAGGCTCTCCTTGAGCCTGCTCGTGTGCTCCCACTCCTTGGCAGCCACCTCGGCCCGCTCAATCACCTTGTTCGGGATCCCGCACATGGCCGCACAGTGCATGCCGAACGAGCCCTCGGCCACACCGTCCTCGAGCTTGTACAGGAACGTCACCCGCCTGTTCTCCTCGTCCACGTGGATCTGCATGCGCCGCGCCCGGATCTCGGGGTGGTTCTCAAACTCGGTCGCCAGGCTGTGGTAGTGCGTCGCGAAGAAGCCGATGCAGCCAATGTGCGACGCCACGTGGTGGAGCACCGCCTGCGCGACTGCCACGCCGTCGTACGAGGATGTCCCGCGGCCGAGCTCGTCCAGGATGACTAGCGACCGGGGCGTGGCTTCCGACAGGATCTTCTTGGTCTCGGAGAGCTCGACGAAGAAGGTGCTCTGCGCGGCAAAGATGTTGTCGTTGGCGCCGAGCCGCGACATGATGCGGTCGACGGGCGTCAGGAGAGCCGAGACGGCAGGGACGTAGCACCCAATCTGTGCCATGATGACTGCAGTACACGACTAAAAGAAAGTTAGTTAGCGAATCTGACCGCCACATCACGAAACAAAACAAAACTCACCATCCTCAAAATCGTCGACTTGCCCGCCGCATTCGCTCCCGTCAGCAGATTGATCTTCGCCTCATCACCACCCAGCCGAATATCATTCGGAATAAAGTCATCCACGGCATTCAGCATGCACGGATGCCTCAGCTCCTCAAACTGCACCACGCTCCTCTCCTCGTCCACAAACACTGGCCTGCAGCTCGGCTGCCCCAGCGACGACGACGCCTTGGCCAGACTGATCAGACAGTCCAGCTGCGAGATGATTCTGATCGCCTGCAGCCACGTCTCGTAGTCCTTATCAAACCGCTTGAAGAACCGGCTCGCCACCTCCTTCACAATCTGCGAGTGCAGCTCCTCCGCCTCCTGCAGCTCCCGCACCAGCTCCTCCAGCTGCTTGAAGTAGTACCGCTTGACCGCGCTCGTTGCCGACATCTGCCGCCACGTCGCCGGCACCTTGACGCTCTTGGGCACCTCGATCTGGTACACCTCCTTGCCGATATCCGTAAACTTGACTGCCTTGCTTTTCAGCTCCTTCTTCTTCTCCTCCAGCAGCTCCTCGAGCTCGCTCCTAATCCGGTCTAGTTCGTCCTGGCTGCTGTCAAAATCTTCCTCGATCTCCCGCTCGGGAATCAGCAGCTTATCATCCCGCGCCCGCTTCCTGTTGAACGCCGTCTCCCAGTACCCTAGCGGTTCCTTGAGATCCGGCATCGCCGCGAGCAGCCGATCCACCAGCCCGTTCGTGCCGCCGCCAAAGCTGCTCAGCAGCCCCATCGTCGCCTCAATCTGCTCGAACCCCTCCAGCACCCGGCAAAAGTCCTCAGGCTTGCACACGCCCGCGTGGATGCGCGAGATCAGCCTCTCTAGGTCTGGCATCTTAACCATCTGGCTCGAGAACTCCTCGCGCAGACCGCGGTCGGCGTTGAGCATGTCGACCGCGTCGAGCCGCTCGTTGATCTTTTGGATGTCGCATAGCGGGTGGCAGACCCACTGTCTAAACAAGCGCTTGCCAAAGGGCGTGACGCATCTGTTGAGCAGCTTGAACAGGGTACCATCGGCACCCCCGTTGGCGGTGTTGTTGAATACCTCGAGGTTGATGAGGGACTGACCGTCGAGGATAAGCGTCCCGTTCTTGTGGATGGGGTCGTACCACGAGAAATTGCCCTGCGAGAGCAGGTTCTGCTCAATCTTGAGCATGCGCAGGTAGTACGTCAGGCTGCCCAGCGCAGACATCAACAGATCTTTGTCCTTGGCCTCTTCCAGCACCTCGGGCAGGACCTCTTCCTCTTCTTGGCCTACCTCTCCAGAAGCAAAATACCCATTGCAATTGAGCTCCCGCCGGGCCATATCCGCATCCCAGAACTCTGTACCCGTCTTCAGATAATTCCAAATCGTAGTCGGCGGCGTATTATTCTTGAGAATCCTTAGCGCCTTGGTCGACACGTGCGACTTTTCCAGCAACAGCTCTCGCGGGCTCGTCTGCGCAACAAACGTCTCGAACTTGGTCAAGTCCACGTCGTCC